AAACTAATTGTTATTACAAATTATGTAACATGCATTTCAATTAAATGTAATCTAATAAAACTGAATTATTACATTATATTATATATATTTACTTTTGGAAAATATTCTGCCTCCTTGAATAAAGAATGCAATCCATCAAAATGCAGTAGAACTGCTTCTGGGGCATTAACAGATTACATTTTTAAGCAGGTATTGAAGTTTGCCTAGAGGGCACATATTACAGTTTCTTTATTAAGAGAAGAAAGAAAGAATGATTTGAGAAAGATGGGTCAAATTCAACAACAGACTTGATGCTAATGAAACATCCAAATTTGGTCACAATCACTGTGACTTTCAGAACAGTGTCGTCTGAGATATTATAACACTAAGAGTTTTCCCCTGCTGTTGTGCCTGTGTCGGTCTGCATCGATTGACTTGAAGCACACATAAAGCACTGAGTCAGAGAGGTTGATCTTTAGGCTTTGTCCACCATCACCACAGCGGATTGCTCCTATGGATGGTTAAGATTCCCAGCAGGGATTACTGACCCATGTCGGCGTCCCACCTTTACAGCAGCCTTTGATGTTCATCCAATTTTATCTTAAGAGCCCCACAGATTGGGACATGTGTGTCCTTTTCGTTTGCTTTTACATAGAGCCTTGAGAAAGTGAAGTGTGTACATGTGAATGAGAACAAACAGTGGATTTAGGTAAAAGAGAGCACCATCGTCTTTTTAGCATGCTAATGAATTTCTATTTGGTATGTTTAAAGAGTAAATTTATACGGCCGGCTTGGAAGCACTGCCATCGTGCAGGAGCTGGCATTACTGCGGTGGCATCTCAGTGTTTGCTGCTGCCTGGTTACTATGACAACAGCATTCATAGTTGGGATAACATAATAGAGAAATAAATAAAGAAAAACTCAACCATCAGTCACATGTGATGAATTGTTGTATAATATAAAGTTATTCTACATGCTTGTTAGCTTAATTAATTAACTGCTGCATTTAATCATTGGACTAGATGCATTGTGAATTATATTTCTATAGATATTAATTAAGCATATTTTGTTTTTGTTTATTTGCCAAAGCATCTGGTCTGTTATGATTACATCCACCTGATTACGCATGGCCATAGAGGAATGTTTTATATACAGGATCACTTCATACCTACATGCCAATCAATAGATCACTCAGGGTCTTCTCTCAATCCACCTCTGAAGAATATCTTAGTCCTGTGTGTGTTGTGCACTTCCTCTTTGTTTCCCCAGAGCTAAAGTTTGTCCCGACCGTTAGAGCAGCTGAGAACTCCTCAGGTTCTTCCTGAACTCCTTTACAATGTTGTTAAAGGTCAAGTTACATTGAAAGTCATGGTCAAAGTAAAAAATGTTCATTTTGTAGGACTGCTCGCATTCAAACCCACAGCTGTTGAAGGGAGACGTCACAGCAGTAATGGCTACTTGTCTACTTTTAGTTTTTCTCTGGATTCTTCTATAGCCGAGGCTACTGATTTTAAAATACAGTATTAACTAATCCATTCATACACAACCACACACCTCTGCCGCAGCAGCACGAGCAATCTGGGGTTAAGTGTCTAAGGAAACATCGGACATGTGCCTGCAGGTCTGAACTGAACTGAACTAGTACGACCTTCTAGTCGGCCAACTCTATAACTGATCCACAGCTGCCCAAATTTTGAAAAAAGTAAAAAGTAAATCAATATGCAGGACTACATTTTTTAACTTGAATGGCATAAAACATGATACACAAAAAAGTTGGACTTTTCCAAAAGAAAAAAAGGCCAGTCTCTTTTATTAAGACAAGACACTTTGGCAATCTAGGTTTCTAGTATACAATCAAACTATTCTTTGCAAATTCCAGTCTACAGAACACAATTAAGCCATCTCATTCTGCTATTAAACAGTCTGAAGTTTTGTTGAGTCAGGGTAGGTATTTCCCAAAGGACTGACACAGCCAGCCAAGAGAGAGGTTAGGGCTGTCTGTCAGCCTCCAATGTCTACACACAACAACCCTAACCTAAACTGACAGGCACACACCAAACTGGCAGCACACTAACAAAACACAGTTTTCCACTCGCAAACGGCCACTTGCAGTGCTCACTATGAGAGAGTGTGGTACAAAGAGGACACATATACTGTGGGCCTGATGGAACCAGCCCTTTTGAGACATATATATGTTACAAATTGCTTGGTCCATATGTTAAAGACAAAATGCTAAAAAGTTATTCATATAGATATTGTGCTTGTCCCTAAACAATGGGTCCTAGACACAATTTATCTAATGCTACTCCCAGAAGGAAGTCCTGTTTCATCAAGATATGTTCTTTGAATCCCACAAAATACAATTTTAAGGCCAGCCATTAGTCAAACATAAGATTGTAAAAAATCCTGCACATCCTGGTGGATAACCATGCAGTATAACAAGTCCATACATTTGTTACTTTTTTTTGTTATTTATAATTTCTTAATATCCAGATTAAAATAAAAGTCTCCTCAGCTGGTTTCTAAAATTCTGCAGAATTAGGCAAATGTATCACATTTCTCCTATGTTGCCTTCTCTGCACTGCACTGGCTTCCTACTCTTGTTGAGTATGTATCTTGTTGTCTTTGTCATTAGTTGAGCTTCCTCACAAGCAGTTCAATAAATGGAATACATTATTTCAGATCTAATTCTGGGAATGCCAAGGATTTCAGACAATTAAAACTAGCAAAGAATTTTGTTACATTTCACCACGTCCCTTCTTCACTTTCCTCACTTCCTTTGGTTCACCTCCTGATTTCTCCTTTCCTCAGCATTGATTAGCTGTTGTTTGCACTCTGTCACTACTTGTTTGCCTGGTTGAATTCACCTGATGACTCCATATTCAAAGACTGCTCTCCCTTGTCCTCACTCCTTTTGCCCCTTACAGGGTTCAGCAGTGGTAAGGTGGTTTTCTACAACTATAGTTTTTATTTGTCTGTAATAGTTTAACCTGAGTACTTTAATTATCCACAATTAACTACTGTATTTTCTTTTGTGTGTTTTGTTACACCTCTTTATTGAACTGAATGGAGTTTAAGAAATAAACCTTTATCAAAAGACATCTGGTGATTCCTGGCTGGCTCTCTCACTCTGACCCAATGCCCATGGTGATAGTTAACCTGCATATGTGAACAATGTATGTACAATTTAGATGAAAATAAAAAAAGCTAAGTTAACGGAAGATGATATGAAGTACGGAACGTACCTGGATGATTTAAATAAATAAAATAAGCCTATAGTAGCAAACCTGAAAATGGCCAGTATAGGAGTTTGTTATGTGATATTTCTGCAGGTAATTTGAATAATTTTAGGAATGTCCTTAAATTGCCTGTTAGCTTGTTAGTTATAGATTGCGGTCACCACTTCTACCCTCTAAGAGCTTGATTTTATTTTCAGGGATATTTATTTGGGAAATGAGCCAACTAGGCTTATAAAAAGGCCAATAATACAAAAACCATAACTATAAAATAGCTGCATAAAGAGTCTCCTAGAGCCCTTGCATGTACAGAAATAGTTCAGGAAATTTGAAATGTAGCTGTTCTTTATATTCATTAGCTAGAGTTTTGACAGAGGTAGTGTGTGGGAGTGTTTTCAGATTTTTATTTCCTCAGCATGTCATTAACCCCTCAGTATACTGTAGTAGCCCCTTACAAATACCAGGGGTCGTTGAGCATGCCTAATAGGGCGCCACAGGAAGTAAGTTAGCATGTTAGCACCATGGGGCCTAACGTCTAAAAGTCAATGTGGATTTTGAATGGGTTTGTGGTTAGACGCCTGAAATAAGGTCTGTGGTTAACACAAGCTGAAGAGATGTTGGTGTTTTGTTAGATCACATAAACTACTTTAGGTAATACCTAACTGTGAAGTTTTTACGCGTCTTTAAAAAGACAGTTGCTAACAAGTGGCTAAATGTGACTACAGTGGTTGTCGTGGACATTAAAATCTGATTAAAGTTACAATAAGACGTGATGTCTCCTGTAGGTTTAATCTTTGGCTGAAGCAAATATTATTTTAATAAACAATGTAGTAAGCTATTGTTTCGCTATCTTGTCAAAACCGCTGATTAGCTTATCAGAGATCGTCTGAAGCATAATGGTAGCGATGTCAAAATCCTCTGACCGTGGTGTAGTTAGCTTGTAGCAGAACGTTAGCTTTTTACTTCTGTCGGCCGCATTAACGCTTCAAACATCATAAAAATGATGTTCATCTGTGAAGATTATCCTGCTGAACAAAACGCCTACGCTTCAGAAACGGGTGTTAGCCACAGAGATTATTTTCTGCAATGATCGAAAATCTAATGCAAAAATCACATAGGAGAATTCTCAACAGAACCCATGGTGATGCTCCTTCGGGGTTGGCCTACAAAAAATACATTGGTTTGTTCTCTATAATATTTAACTGCATCTACTTTTCCTATCTGCTGACTCTGAATTGATTTTTATCTTAGATTTATATTTTCATATACATTATATATACAAACCTGGTTAAATAAAGTTAAATACAATTTTTTTATTTTAAATAAATACTTTTAGCCACCAATTTAGCCCTTCATTTAGCCAACAAGATTACACCCCCTTTGGTCGGAGTATGAACCCTTGACTTCAGGGCGCAGATTCAGAATACCCAGGATGAGGACTAAAAGGGGCATGAAATCCTTTGTAACACGCAGTATTCATCTGCTTAATAAGCTCTGATTATACATTATGAAGTTGGCATGCTGCACTTTATTTAACTTGCTGCTGGAATCCCTCATTTAATCATATCCTGATTTAGGTTAATTATGTTTTTTTTATGGTTTTGTTTGTATCTGCTGCCCTATATTATGTTTGTTTGTATTGTGTTTTGATGCTCTCGGTTCAAGGAAAATTCCCCTAGGGGCAATAAAGGTTTCATTCATTTATTCATTGACCAGTACTCGGGCTTTGGTCCACATGATGGTCATATACATAAAAAATAATAATAATTAAATGGTGTGGTTTCATCAAAAATGGAGCAAAAGAGGAACCTGTGAAGGTTCCATCATGACCCCTACCCTCTGTCGAATCTCTTCTTCCATCTTGATGGGGGAACCAAACTCAGCTACCTGACGGACACCCTCGCTTGCATACCCTCCATATTCCCAAAGCGTGTAGCTTCTGGAGTGAGATGCACCTATCAGAGCTGACCAGTGGTTGGCTCGTCCTTGAAGACAACAGACACAGAGCAATTTAGTGTGAGTGATAGCAACTCTGATAAGTAGGACGATAAATAAGATGAATACTAGCTGATTAAATGAGTATCTTTCTGGTTGCCGGTTGACTTTAAAGGCTTTATATGTGATTTTTTGATCCAGCAGATGTCGCCCCCTTGAGCACCAGCATGAAACCAAAACAACTCACGCTGCATTGTTGTGTTAGCATGCTAATGCTAGCGATCTTTATTATGCTCGTATCTTCACACTGCATGTAAATTTACCTGAAATGAGCGTGATCTAGAAACACAGTTAAGCAGTGAGTACAGTATGTTATTCTTCTTTTCTCTAGTCCCTCAATTAAACAACTTTTATACGCAAGGGGAGGAGTCAGCTGGCTGTCCGGGCGATGTAAACAAAGTGAAGATATGACTCAGAAAACTCTGAAAGCATCACAGACAGTGGGACTCGGGTGTTATACCCATTGAAGACAGTCATGACTCACAGAGTTATTTTCAGAGGATATACTTGATTTATATTATATTTAAGTGTAAAAAATCACATATAAAGCCTTTAAGGGTTTTATAGAACAATTTAAAGTGATATTTAGTTTTTTTTGGCTCAAATTTCTCCTTAATTTGCATTGCTCTGAAACAGATTACACTGTAGACACAATACTGGAAGATAATAAATATTAAATACAATGATTCTGTCTGACTAAAGGGCTCATGATTCAAAATGATCCCTGTATCATACTGAGTTGACTGTTTCATTTGACTTCTAAGGGCAGTAAAGCTGCTGCTTTACAGGGACACACTGCATATCTACATGGTGGTCTGTTGAACTCACTTGGGTAGTCTTTTGGATGTTGTTGCTCTGACCAGTTGCCATAGAAGGTGAGCCTGTATTTGGCTGTGCCACAAGCGCAGCATTCGACGGCTGGAGCCTCTGTGGCTTCACCAAAAACACGCTCTACAGGGAGACAGGACATTCACATCACACAGAAATACACACTGCTTGTCATGAATTCAGTCAACTTTTACCCATATTACAAACTTCTGTACTGTCTCTCCCAAATGCCATGCAGTCTACTCATTGCCTTCCCCTGGCTCCCTACCATTCTCCCCAACTGCTGGACATCAGTCCCTCAGCATACATGTTCTAAAAGGTCAAAGATGCAGAGATATGAATCCTATAGGGATGATAGGCAGCTCTCATTACCTTTTTCACACAGTCGAATAGTGAGAGAGCCTTCATCCTGGAAAAATATGACTTTCTTCTGGACAATACTGGCCCTGAAAAGACAGGGTGAAAGGTGATGAAAAAGGAAAGAAAGGCAATTAAATCACAATTGCGTTTTCATGCCTGCATAATATTTACATGACAGTATGTGCGATAGTTAAGTAAATAATCTGCAACATTTTATGCTACAACTTCTTTGTTGCTTCATCCAAACACAAACTCACCAGGTTCTCATTTCCCAACCAATCAACAATACAGGATTACAACTGACCCCTGTGCACGGTGGCTCTGTTTGAAAAACATGAGCATAAATTGTGAACAAACACACAACTCTGCTGCCTTTACAGAAAAGGATGCAGAGGTGCTCAAAACAGACATTCAGTTAGGTTTATTTATCAGGATAAGCCCCTTGAGATGTACCATCTTGTTTTCAAGGGGGTCCTAACAGAAGACAATTCACAACATGACATGATGGTGAAATGTGACAACAATTCAAAAGAGAAAATAAAGAAACTAAGACAAAATGTTAACATTACACAAACTGACAAGAAAAAGCAACCCACTAAGACAGAACAGAGTAGTGGATGAAAAACATTACAACCAAATGATGGCCAAAAATCCATCAATGAGAAAGAGGACAAATCATACTTCAAGAAACAAAATGACAAAACAGATCTGATCTGAACAGGTTAGTCATTTCAGTCAGCAGGAGCTTTAAACAGAAAAGCTCTTTGAACAACAAAATAAATCGAAGTGGAATTCCTAATGTGGTCATTTGAAGTGAAGGGTACAAAATTATGTTTTAAATAAGGTGGAACGTAGAAACTGGATCCAGTGCTGCTGTCTCATAGTGAGTGATGGCTAATCGAGTGCATCATACAATGAACAATGATGAGTAAAAAAAGAACAACCAATTCTGTTATAAACTGTATTAAGCTCACCAAGATCAGATTTAGAGGAGTTTTGGTAAATAACATCACAACAGTCAATAACTGGCAGTATAAGTTGAGAGGCAAGTGTCTTGCAAACATTGAAAGCAAAACAGTCGACAGATCAATACAGGAAGCAAAAGCAAAGTTGACTTTGTGTAAGACATGATCGATATCCATCCATTCATTTTCTTCTGCTTATCCGAGGTGAAGTTGCGGCGGCAGCAGGCGCAGTTAGTGTTCCAGACTTCCCTCTCCCCAGCAACGTTTTCCAGCTCCTCCTGGGGATACCGAGGCGTTCCCAGGCTATGCGGGATATATAATCCCTCCAGTGAACTCTGGATCTGCCCCGGGTCTCACATCCACAGAGACATTAACGTCACCATTCAAGAGTTTGCAGAGTTCAAAAGAAATGACACTGATGAATGTCATACGGAAAATAAAGTTGACTTTGCAGATGCCTGGTCCAAACAATGCAAAAGGTGGTGACTTGATGAGTCCAGCTTCTTGTTTCATGTCTAATGTGTTCGTGTGTTGCTGACGCTATCGATCGGATGGATCTGGGGATAGATGAACTTGCACGCAGTCTAAAACTGACACATACAGTCTGAATGATGTTCATTGATCTGAAAGTGATAAGTTAAGTGACAGACTTTTTTTGGGAGTAAAGTGGGGTAGGGAGGGTCTGCACCTGTGGATTGGTTTGTTGGAAATACAAGAAATAATCCGCCACCATCCAGCAAACCAATCCACAGATGCAGACCCTCCCTACCCCACTTTACTCCTAAAACAAGTCAGTCACTTAACAAATCACTTTCAGATCAATATATAAATCATATACAGTGGGTACGGAAAGTATTCAGACCCCTTTACATTTTTCACTCTTTGTTTCATTGCAGCCATTTGCTAAAATCAAAAAAGTTCATTTTATTTCTCATTAATGTACACTCAGCACCCCATCTTGACAGAAAAAAAACAGAAATGTAGAAATTTTTGCAAATTTATTAAAAAAGAAAAACTGAAATATCACATGGTCATAAGTATTCAGACCCTTTGCTGTGACACTCATATTTAACTCACATGCTGTCCATTTCTTCTGATCCTCCTTGAGATGGTTCTGCTCCTTCATTGGAGTCCAGCTGTGTTTAATTAAACTGATTGGACTTGATTAGGAAAGGCACACACCTGTCTATATAAGACCTTACAGCTCACAGTGCATGTCAGAGCAAATGAGAATCATGAGGTTGAAGGAACTGCCCAAGGAGCTCAGAGACAGAATTGTGGCAAGGCACAGATCTGGCCAAGGTTACAAAAGAATTTCTGCAGCACTCAAGGTTCTTAAGAGCACAGTGGCCTCCATAATCCTTAAATGGAAGAAGTTTGGGACGACCAGAACTCTTCCTAGACCTGGCCGTCCAGCCAAACTGAGCAATCGTGGGAGAAGAGCCTTGGTGAGAGAGGTAAAGAAGAACCCAAAGATCACTGTGGCTGAGCTCCAGAGATGCAGTAGGGAGATGGGAGAAAGTTTTACAAAGTCAACTATCACTGCAGCCGTCCACCAGTCGGGGCTTCATGGCAGAGTGGCCCGACGGAAGCCTCTCCTCAGTGCAAGACATATGAAAGCCCGCATAGAGTTTGCCAAAAAAACACATGAAGGTCTCCCAGACTATGAGAAAGAAGATTCTCTGGTCTGATGAGACCAAGATTGAACTTTTTGGCTTTAATTCTAAGCGGTATGTGTGGCGAAAACCAGGCACTGCTCATCACCTGCCCAATACAATCCCAACAGTGAAACATGGTGGTGGCAGCATCATGCTATGGGGGTGTATTTCAGCTGCAGGGACAGGACGACTGGTTGCAATTGAAGGAAAGATGAATGCGGCCAAGTACAGAGATATCCTGGAAGAAAACCTCTTCCAGAGTGCTCAGGACCTCAGACTGGGCCGAAGGTTCACCTTCCAACAAGACAATGACCCTAAGCACACAGCTAAAATAACAAAGGAGTGGCTTCGGAACAACTCTGTGACCATTCTTGACTGGCCCAGCCAGAGCCCTGACCTAAACCCAATTGAGCATCTCTGGAGAGACCTGAAAATGGCTGTCCACCAACGTTCATCATCCAACCTGACAGAACTGGAGAGGATCTGCAAGGAAGAATGGCAGAGGATCCCCAAATCCAGGTGTGAAAAACTTGTTGCATCATTTCCAAGAAGACTCATGGCTGTACTAGCTCAAAAGGGTGCTTCTACTCAATACTGAGCAAAGGGTCTGAATACTTATGACCATGTGATATTTCAGTTTTTCTTTTTTAATAAATTTGCAAAAATTTCTACATTTCTGTTTTTTTTTCTGTCAAGATGGGGTGCTGAGTGTACATTAATGAGAAATAAAATGAACTTTTTTGATTTTAGCAAATGGCTGCCATGAAACAAAGAGTGAAAAATGTAAAGGGGTCTGAATACTTTCCGTACCCACTGTACATGGGATATAGATGTGGATATAAATATAAAGACACTTTAGCAGTTCTGAAGTGGAGGTACTACTAGAGGAGGTCAGCAGGATGTTTTATTGAGCATTCAACACTTTGAATTGCCCCCCGGGGACAAATAAAGTTTTTTTGAATTGAATTGAATTGAGTGTGAGTAATGGTTACACAGGAACACAAAAAAAGAGGCATGGGATGCATCATCATTAACGTTTGTGAATTGAATTGTTGTGCATGTTATTTATCTTATAAGACCACTTGGGTTTGCATGATCATAAGCATATTTATTCAATATTTCATTAGGCTAGTTATGAAACAAAATACTGTAATTTAAACCCTTGTATATTACACAACTGTAGATTGAAATGACATACAATAAGCAGTGCATAAGAGTACTGGGAGTGGTGAATCACAGAATCTTCTTCAAAAGTTTGTAACTAGGATTTAAGAACAGTTAATGAATGAACCATCTGGAACCATTGTCTCAGTCATCGACAAGCGCTGGCATGCAAAGGAATGCCTGCAGATCTTGAGAAGGTATTGAAAGAAGTTATTCAGGATATGATTAATAAAGGCAACCTGCTTTTTGACCAGACATGGAAGCAGAACACACACTTCCTGTTTCACACAGATTGTGCCCAGGCTCTTCAAAGGCTTCTCACATATATGTCATATCTGGCAGATATATTTTCATCTCTCACGACGAGCTGAATCCAAAGCTGCAAGGAAACCACAACAATGTTTTCCCAAACTGGAAACATGTTATTGCTTTTCAAAAGTCTTAAAGCCGTGACCAAAGCCAAGCCACTACATGTTTTCTACTGTTTGACAGCAAGCATAGAAAAACAGATCCCAGTGCTGTCATTAGGCGATCCAGTCAATCACAGGGCTGACATATAGACAAATATTCATGCTCACACCTACAGTCCATTTAGAGTCAACAATTAACAAGCAGGGGTACCTCAGGGAACTCTATACATAATGGCCTGTGAAAATAAGATTTGACATTATAGATCTATCTAGGGCTGGGCGATGTGACCTCAAATCAATATCACGTTAAAAATTTTACCTCGATCACGATTAATGAACAATTATTTTGTTTTTGTTTTTTGCCCTCAGTTCACTGACGAGGTCTCTACTGTAAACATGCTCAACTATTCAAGCTGGGATATGATTTCTGATGAAAGAGTGAATATCTGATGAACTGTTCTGTGGTTATTTATTAAATATTTGGAACTGAAATCAAAGCATCGATTGAAATGAAAACGACACATTTTAGTTTTAAAGTAGAAATTCACTTCTCTAAAACAGTAGAAGATAAACAGTTTGTCCACAGTGTTTACATTTGACCTCTTTTTCTTCTGTGTCCTCTTCCCTAAAGACAAAAGGTGTCCAAACGACGGACATTGCTTCCATGTCACGAATTGGACGTGCCCTGAAATTATAGAAATAAACGACATGAGCAAGATTATGTCGGTTAGAGGTTCTGGATGTCGGTTTTGATTAATTGCCCAAGCCCAAGATCGATTGTTTTTGCACTATAAGCTAACTGTATTGAAGCAGTAGTTATAAAAACGTTTTATTGTAATGGACTTGAGCTTGTATAGAGCTTTTCTAGTCTTCTGACTACTCAAAGCACTGTTACTGTACACCTAATAAACTATTCTGATCACTGTAAAAATGCAAAGTAAATGTATAATATGTGTCTGTTGTATTGTTTATAAATAATGTGATATAAGCAGTTGCTTCTTTTGAGTGTTTTATTAAATCCATCTGGCAGGGGGAGGTGTTTCCATGGGGTGTGGGGTTCACTGAGAGCTGAATAGTTGTGTGTTTCCTACAAAGCTTGAAGTCATTATTATCACCAAGGCTGATTAGGTTGGCATCAGTAAGACAGAGATGTCATTCCTCTTCTCCTTCTCATCCTCCACAAATATCCCCTCCAGGACGTGTAGCACAGACCTACGACATCCACAGAGCCCAAAGAGGAGGAGAGGACTGAGTACAGACTGTCCATCTGTACTATTCCATTCACACACATTCAAACGTCACTGGTAGAACAGCACAAGCTATTTGGGGTTCGGTGTTTTGTTGGGCTGTGGATCATTGGTAGAGTCTGTCAACCTGAAGTTCGGGGTTCAATCCCCAGATCCTGCAGTCACATGTCAAAGTGTTCTTGGGCAAGACACTGACACCCAAAATGCCCCGTGTCTTTCGTCAGCAGATGAATGTGTATCAATGGATTATTGTTATAACTGTGTGGACAGTGGTCCGCCAACACAGCATATTATTGCAAGGTATTAATTGGTCATCACTTGCAAGTACATTTCCATATGATGTCACTTAATTCAAAAACTTTAAAATAATTTGAATTCTAACCCAAATAAGTATTGCTCACTCTCTTTGGCTTTCAAACAGGTACGATCTTTATCAAAAGCTGCTCAATGAAAATCAAACTCACTTCAGTATGACACAGCCAGAGCCAGGAGGTGGTGCCGTCCAGAAGACCTGTATTCTTGTACGTCTACGAGGTGTACTCTCTGTCACTGCAGGGGCACAGTTGGTCATGAACTGTGTGTCCTCTTCATCAATGATCTAGAAACAAAAGAGGATTTAGTTTTTATATATATATATATATATATATATATATATAAATGTATATTTAAACAAAAAATGACATTGCCTTTCTATCTTTATGAAAAAAGTAGTATCCAGGCCACATAAGTAAAGTAACAAGTTCTCTGTAATTCAGTATATTGACAGACATCAGACTAAATTCAGTTCATGAGATAAATCTTTTTCTCAAACCTCAAACTCAGAATACTTTGATGCTGGTAGTGAACAGTATATATCTGGGGTGGATTGATAATATCTAGATCATTTCAGGAGGACTTCTCCGGAGATTCTCCCAACCTAGCCGTTCACATATGCTCCTCACAGCGGGGGACTATCCCTGTCAGAGGGAAGGGGGGGGCTATCCCTGTCAGAGGGGAGGGGGGGGCTATCCCTGTCAGAGGGGGGGGGGGCGAGGGATTTCCTGAGGTAAGACGTGACGTAAAAGAACAATGTGGAAGTAAGCAACAGAGTCCGCTACACAACGTTATAATGGGAATATTTGTCTTTATATCAATGCTATGTGTAATCCAATGGAATGACAACATCCACAAAAGAGAGGAGAACAACATAGTGATGAACAGAAAACATAATGCAGATGTATAATTAGAGCACGGAGATCGTAGAGGTCGCGTGCAGACACTTTAGATAGAAAACGTAATTTTCTTTCTATTGGCTCGAGGTGAAATCTCTGGAGTATATTCGTCTGCGTTCAGACATCAGCTCACTCTGATATTCTGCGGATTAAATACTAGGAGTCTGGAGGAGAAACTCCGGGTAGACTAATCTCCAGAGTTTTTCAGGAGATTTCTGTATGTGTGAAAAGGGTTTAAATGGGATGTCTTTTTATGAACACACTAGTGGTCATGGTTTACTCTTGTTTAGTTTATTCCTTGTTTTGTTGCATAGTGGCCATGTTCTGTCTTATTTGGTAATTGTCTATCCTAGTGTTCCTTGTTTCCCTTAATGTTTCATAGTTTAATATTCAGTGTTTCCTGTTTTGTAAATACTTATCCTTGTATTTCTCTATGTTCTAGTGTGCATTGTTATTGTTACATTGTGTCTTTAGTGTTTCCTGATTTTGTGTTGTACTTTTTACCCCGTGTGTCATGTAGTGTTTCTACATGATGTTTCTGCCTGTGTCCCGATCTGAAAAGCCACAGTTCAGTATGCAGTGCAGACTTTCAGTAGACTGAAGTCTCGTGGTCATTCAGTATGCATTCTTTGGGTCCAACTCTGTATACTGAACATTTCAGCATGGATACTACAGTAACTTCCTGGTTTTGTGCAGTATGGATCAGATGCATCCTTTCAGGAAATGAATTGTATTTTAACACCCACACCCACTTCCAAAAAAAAACGAGCATGGATTAATTTAATAAATTTTTAATCTAGAGT